AGTTCCTCCGCGCCATCCAATTTTACGGGAGCGGGTATCTTGAGGAGGTCCCAGGGCCAAGGCCGCGGCTCGGACGGCTGGGGATGATGCGATGGGGGTATATTAGGTGGTCGGGGTCGCGATGGTTTGTGAGCTACAGACGTTGATTTCCAGCTTGTCAATTGAAAACACCGGCATATACGTCTGCCAATATGCGCGTCACCGAGTTTTTCACGTGCGCTCTGCTGCAAGCATCAGCGGCACTATCTACACCTCTCGATGAGCGAAGCGTCAAGGTCGTTGCGTCGAAGAGGCCTCACCACCCGGCGTATCCTTATCACCCGAAGAAAGCATGCCCAGCGTCGCCGCCACGAACCAAGACCTGCAGCGTCAAGGCTCTCGGTGGTGGTAAGGATGACTCTGCCAACATCCTGAAGGCGATCAAGCAGTGCAATAACGGCGGTCATGTTGTCTTCCCCAAGGACCAGAAGTTTACCATCGGAACCGCGCTGGATCTTACTTTCCTAAACAGCATCGATCTGGGTATGTCACCTTCAAAAAGCTACGATACTGCAGCGCTAACCGTCAAAAAGACATTCAAGGATCCATCCAATTCACAAACGACACAGACTACTGGCAAGCAAACTCCTTCAAGCAAATCTACCAAAACGCCACCACCTTCTTCCAGCTCGGCGGCAAGGATGTCAACGTCTACGGCGGCGGCACTCTAGACGGAAACGGCCAAGCCTGGTACGACCTCTACGCGAAGGACATCTACATCCTGCGCCCCATCCTCTTCGGCGTCATCGGCGCGGAAGGCGCCACAATCTCGGATCTAAAGTTCAGATACAGTCCGCAGTGGTACACATTCGTCGCCAACTCCACCGACGTGGTCTTCGATAACATCGACATCTTCGGTGGTAGCAAGAGCAAGAACCCCGCTAAGAACACGGATGGCTGGGACACGTACCGTTCCGATAACATTGTCATTCAGAACTCGCACATCGACAACGGCGACGATTGTGTTTCCTTCAAGCCTAACAGCACCAACATCGTTGTTCAGAACCTGATCTGCAACGGTAGCCACGGTATTAGTGTTGGTTCTTTGGGCCAGTACCCTGGCGAAGTGGATATCGTCGAGAATGTTTACGTGTACAACATCAGTATGTCGAATGCTTCGGACGGTGCGCGTATCAAGGTCTGGCCTGGTGCTTCTTCCGCTCTTTCCGGTGACCTGCAGGGAGGAGGTGGCGGTGGTGCTGTCAAGAACATTACGTACGACGGCATGACTATTTCGAACGTCGACTACGCGATTGAGATTACTCAGTGCTACGGTCAGAAGAACTTGACTCTTTGCAACCAGGTATGCCCTTACTTCCCACCAACCAATCCTTATCCGAAAACTAACGTGATGATAGTTCCCATCCAACCTCACCATCTCCGACATTACGGTCAAGAACTTCCACGGCACGACCAGCAAGAAGTACGACCCGCTTGTGGGTTACTTGGTTTGTTCCAGCCCGGCGGTATGCTCGAACATCAACATCGAGAATGTTAATGTCACGAGCCCGAGTGGAACGAACCAGTACACTTGCTTGAACATTGACGGGATTGAGAGTCAGGTTAACTGCACTACCAATGGAGGTCAGGGTGGGGAGTCAGGAGGGAACTGAGGATGCTTGAATAATGATTGCAAGACCAAATGTATCGTCCATATGATTCCACTCCATTTGCTTTTGTGCCGTGATGACATGATGTACGCTGCAGATGTTGGGTTCGTAGCCGAAGCGCTTTTGGTAAGCGACGATAGTCTGGTACAGGCCTAGGGCACTACCGAATGGATATCCGGACATATCCTTTCCTGGCACAACTACTGGTTCTGGACTTGCTGAACATCCATGGGCTTCACTGGAGTACCCAGGCATCTAGGCATCGATGGGTTTGGTCTTAGCAATCAACATGCTCGGTATGGGGCGAACTACCATTACTTTGAGCTCTGAGTGAAATAGCCAAAGGTTCTCTGGCCTCCAGTGGCGAGCGTAGTCCGACCATTATAGTCAGAGGTTCCGAGTAGGAGCCTAATGCGTGATGCACAGACTTGGCGTGAGTGTAATGCACCCCTATATACGACCGTACGCTTCCGAGCCCTGGTCAAAATCTCTACGAGCCAGTCAACCAACCCGAAAACTTCTGCAAATTAGCAAAACATTCAAGACATGTCTACTTCTCCAAGTAACGTGTTACCCGAGGGCATCGAGCGCAAGAAGATGAGTGCATCGGCTAGACGGCGAGCGCGGAAAGCTCGGAAGGTTGCTCAAGCAGGTTCGGGTGGTGAGCCGCAACAGAATGCCGAGACCGTGCACAAGGCACCTGAGCAAGCGGAAGCGGTGCAGGAGGAGATCACGGAAGAAGAAGCTCAACTGAGGCGCGAGCAGGAGGTGCAAATAGCGCGCGCTGAGCTAAAAAAGAAGGAAGAATCGAGATTGAAGCGAGAACAGGAGGCGCAAGCAGCGCACACCGAGAAGATGAAAAAGCGGAACGCTAAGCGTGCGTTCCTTGTCCACTCCTATGACGACCTCCGTCCATACCGTCGATACACTCACATCTACGGTGAACGTAAGTTCCAGAAGCCTGTGGTAAGTACCCTATGGATCTGGACACATAATGGTATACTCACAAGTCTGTAGAACAAGCCTCAGAACGTTGGCTTCCTCGATATGCCTCTCGAGATCCGTCTGATGATCTACGGGCATGCCCTTGAATTCGACGAGCCGATCGAGCTGTGGCCAGAGACCGGAGACATGGATACCGAGTATTACCGAAGAGTACGCAACGGGTCTAGACTTCGAAAAATGTTCGGCAGACGCGGCGCACGCAACCTCGGCTTGCTACGTACATGCAAGCAAGTATGCGCTGAAGCCACCGAGGTCTTCTACGGCAACAATGAGTTCCGCTTCTCGGGTCTCAACGGCCACATGGTAGCGTATGCGTTCGCGACAAAGATTGGACCGAGGAACCTGGGCTTCATGAAATCCATGACCATGGCTATACCTTGCCGCTCGGAGGACCGCGGTTGCATGGCCTCACACTGGAACCCACACACCTGGCTTCGCACACACGACGTATACGATCTCATGCCTTTCCCATATCCGTGGACAAAAGGAAAACTCCGTAAGCGCTTCCCGCGACTAGACTTCGAAGACTCGTGGAGTAGTCTGGCTTGGATGCTAGCGGGCGCTCATAGACTCAACCAGATCACGTTCGTCCTGCCCCACTATATCCGGTACCACCGCGTGGCGTGGGGTCTGCATCGCTATGTGAGGTGTTGCGGACGACGACTTGTCAGTGCAATGGACGATATCGTAGCGGCAAAGCCATTTCTCCAGGTTGCAATCATACGCATGTTCAAGGATCCGAATGAGGACGCCTCCTGTGACAGCAGTCAGCGCTGCCTCATCAAAGAACTGAAGTCGATTGTGTTCTGCAACGTTCGTCTGGCTAGATTCTGTAAGAACCAGAATTGGGAACTTGACCCCCAGCCATATGTTGACAGGGATGGCGAATTTGTCGAGGACCAGGCATTGGATGCGAGCGAGGACCCATTGGACATGCTTCCCGATATCGAGCGTTTGTTCGTGAGGGCGGCAGCTGAGTAGAAGAGATATGGCTTAAGGGTTCGTTCGTTTCCGTGTGCGCGGCGATAGCCAGCGAGATGCTTTCCGGAGGCGCGATTTCAGTATGCGGCTAGAAGCTCGGAAAGTTGTATTGGCGTTGTCAGCGCAAAGAACCGATGATAGGAGTGCAATAAAGATACCACATTTGTACGCTCGCCTTTGAAGTGTGGAAAGTAAAATGCCTTCGCGCGATACTACGAGTGGGCGCTGAGCTGTTGTGTTGTTGGTGTCGTCGGAAAGGCAGAAAGCGCGACTTCGACTAGTGACACGATGACGTCACGCGTCGTCCCATGTCTGCAATGCTGCGATTGGTTGTCGCGTACACTTCTTCTCCGCGCGCAGCACCACAAGAACATCCTACGTCGTAGCGCGCGTCCACAATGACAATGCTGCTTGCCTACTTGCCTAGTCTTTAAGGGCAGCAGAACCGCGATCTTTGTCCATACGTGTCACCCGCGTATGCAACGCGCCTCCACAGCCTATGTCAGTGCCTGCAATTGCGTCTTCGTCGTGTAGACCAATAAAAATATACAGTGCGACCATGCATAAGCTCGCCATCGCATTCATAGACAGCACTTTACACCTGCAAACGCGTCCGATAACTCCCCTACCTCGACTCGGTCATATTCACTCATTTCAAGAACCAAGAATCTTACTTTGATATGAATTGGTTGCTATATAGCTTGCACTATCGAGCTAGACATCCATGCATCCTACGATGCTTGCAGTTTCGCTGATGAAGAGGTAACGAACTCAAACGCTTTCGTGTGCGGCAAGTTCCTTCCCATGATCAGAGGACCAGTTGCTGGGGAAAACAGAAATGAAGAACGAGCACGATAAAACCATGTGATAGACCGAGGAGCGGGAAAGTGGGTTTCAGAGGAACGGAAGTCATCACTGAACCTCCACCGTATCCCAATTCGTCCTTGGTGCGATGGAAAGAACCCCCTTGACACGAGAGCTTCAAAAACGCAGTGGAGAGCTCGAATCCGCATTCGAAAAGCTAGAACGCATTAGCGAATTATCCCGATAATATCGTCAGATCATACCTATATCCCCACCTGTGTGACTTCCTAAGGAACTCCAACAACGAGCCCTTGACGCAAGGACCGAGATGACTGTTGACCAGCCAATTCCAGTCATTCGTGAGTTTGTAATCAACCCGCCCAGTCACCTTATAACTGTTGTCCAGGTATGAATTAACCAGTGTGTCCAACCCGAGCTCATTTTGCCATGACGCTTCTTTCGCTTGACCAAATCCATTTGTCCAGATAGTAGGGCACGGAAGATCGGCACGGTTGGGATAGGTCTTCAGAAAATCGTATATGAAGAGAAGAACGCCAACTTTTAGTTGGTCTAGGGACAACGTGAAGCAGTGGTTTGGTGTCTCAGAATCGAGCGGATGGCGTACCTCGATCTCTAAATGGACTTTGCGGTTGACCGAATCCATCGCAGATAAAAGTAGCAGTGCATCGAACCGAACATCTTCAAGAGTAGAGTGCTTCGGTAGGTCGAAATACAGATGAAAGTAGCGTGGGCGACCCCGTAGTCGGATGGCTGTGAATCTCTCCAGCTCGGTCGCAAAGTTGTATTTCGGCGTCGAAGTTGCTGAGTTGAAGGTTGAATTGACATCGCAGACTTCTGAGATGGCTTCGTGACGTAACCAACGATTCACCCCAGCTAGGCTTCTAAGGTTGCTGTTCGTAGTCTGGTGCGCCAAGTCGAAGGTTAGTTCAACTCCTGGGGGCTGGAACAAATCGAAAAGCCTCTTCCTAACGGAGTATATACTCATGAGGTCGCAAAACTCTGTGTTCCTGTTCGGCGGGATCACACGCAGCTCGCCTTCATCGCTGATTGACATGCGGCTTTTCGTCATCCAGTTACCACCACCAGAGTCGTTATGGCGGTATGAAACGTATACTTCCGATTCATCTGTATCGAGTCCGACCCTCAACAGCATTTTAGAATTCCAATACTTCCTAAGAAGGTTCGAGGGATCAGCGGTGAGCGTACTCAAGCTTTTGTTAATCCTAGCCATGTGGCTGGCGGACCATTCCCGATTGCTTTGGAAGTATGATTTACTACTGTGCACTTCGAGTAGTGCCACAAATAGGACGTTCATTTTCTTGTGTTCCAGCTTCCAGGTATGCTCCAGTATTGGTAGGACTTCTAAGGTTTCGTCGGCGTCAAGCAAGTTGTTGACATCAAGCTGGATGACGCGAAGAGAAGACGACTGTTTGCCAATTATGCGAAGCCAGTCCATAGCCCAAATAGTGCCACTACGCTGGTCCGCATCTTCGGGGAGCCCTAAACGGAACACGTTTCGTGCGTACAAGACACCAGTGGCCTCATACTGGATTTGACAACATGACTGGAGGAGCGCAGTTCCGGAGATAATCCTGTCGGAGCGGTAGCCGGAGTGGTAGCCGAGTCGATTGATGTTCTTCGCATGGATCTGAATAGGATATTCGTGAATGAAGAGTGCCTCGTAGATGGCGTTGCGAACTTCTCCGGGCAGATTCAACAATGAAGGCGCATTCGGGTCGATTGGGTGCGATACTGGCGGCGGAACGTTGTCCGTTGAAGTCGCCGCTTCCGTGTCTTTTTGCGTGTTCGCGATCTTGGTGATAGCCATGTCGCTTGATTCTGCGTCACTGACGGTAGCGGGAGTCGCGCCACCGGCTGCGGTACCGGGTGTCGCACTCATGTCGCTCGCTGTCACGCTGCGAGGATGGTCTCAGTCGCCGTAGCGCTGGCGATCAGTATCTCGAAATGGGTGTGCGATAACAGAAGGAAGGGTAATCGCTGGGAGCGGGAAAAGCTTGTAAGGTTGGGGATTCTAGGTGAGAGAGTGCGACTGCCAAGACTGCGGCCGTTTGCTGCACCAAATGGAAAGAGCTACGTCATGGATAGCGATAACCGCAGAACTTCTTCGATACGACCTGTAATTACGCGAAGAAAGGTTTGCGAAGCTGGACTAGATTGCAGTATACCAATGCTCGATGCACGTATTTGGTGTATGTGACGAATGATAAGGTCAGCCAATTCAAGAGAGACGCCAAACATGAATTGACTATAGCAAAGGTTACCCTAGAGGTATACGTTGCCAATCAATTTTCCATTTGTACTTAGTTATATGAGGTGCGATAACGCTATTATCTTGATCTACAGCATCTGGCATTAAAGGACGACCAAATGCATGTCGCATTATATATTTCACAAGACGATTTCCAGTTTGAGGCATACATCATCCTAGCCACTCCCGAATTGTTCATATTTGATAGACTGTATGCAGCAAATTCCATCGCCTACCTAGTACCACAGCCGTATTGCGGAATCACCCATAGAGTCAGGCGGAAAATTGCCTGGGGTGAGCATGCTTTCGAACCTCCCTTTAATTTCTTCGTAGCGTGATTGAATGATTGTCGAGCTGATGCCCACGTTCTCATTTACGATCGGCTTGATAGAACACTTGCTCAAGTCCCACTCGGCTTCCCGCGCTTCGCCCCTGCCACTCATCCAGATCCTTGGTAGTTGCGCTAGCATGTGCTCTGGACTTTTCTTGAAGATCTGGTACATGAAGAGAAGGATGCTCTGTCGTATATCCTCAAGAGATATAGTGTAGCTGTTTATTGGGGCGGTGCCAGATTTGCTGTAGACCTCGATGCACACAGGCTTTGATAGGTAGCGACACCCCGTCGCATGCAAAAGCGCGAGAGCATCGAGCCGTACATCGTCCAAGGAGGCATTGTTGTCCAGATAGTAGCGAATGATTATGCTCATAGGACTTCCGAGAGGCAGTCCGCGGAGTATCTTTAGTTCCGCGGTGAAAGCTGCCAGGGTACTCATACTTGTCAATGTGACACTGAACGCTCTTTCCCGGAAACCGACCTCGTGTGTACCAGTCAAGCAAGTAGTGACCGATACGATGTGAGCCACATCCACGTTTGTTGTCCGGTTTGTGAGGTCAAAGATGATGTCCTCGTCTGGACACAATGCCATCGTCAAGATGGAGTTTCGAATTTCGCGGGACGACATAATGCGTTTGATGTCCGTAACCGGTCTTCTTTTCGAAAACGTACTCTCAGCACCGTTGTCGACTATATCAATAATGTCCATAGCTAGCGGGCGGTCGCCGCTGTAAGTTGATTCATAGTAATGAAGGTGAGCATGGTGGTCCAGGAAGTTCAGGCAAACTTCTCGCAGTAATGAAGGCACGGAACAGAACCTTTTGATCATTCCTGACGGATCATCAATGATTGTAGCCATCTGCCTGTTACATGAGACAGCGTTTATCTCGGCTGTTCTGTTAAGATCGTCACCTGGTGGGTCCCATTCCGGATACCATCTAGGGAGAAGTTCAACCTTCAAAGCCGCATGATCAGGCTCCCATACTTGATGTAGTATAGGTGATATATTGATGACATCATCTCGACCGTGGAATACGTTGTAGATGTGAGTTTGAAGATGTCGAACAGAGGAAGACTGTATCCCAATATCGTCGAGCCAGGCCATTGCCCATGGAATTGGATCAGTAATGTAGGGGTCGTCCGCCAGACTTACACAGAAGATATTCCGACTGTAGAGAATACCAATAACTTCCTCGTGGATTTGACGGCATGTTCGAAGTAGCGCGATGCCACGTACGTCTCCCGACTGGTAACATGAGGAGTCGCCGTACGCATACCGATCGCGGGAGATTGTAATGGGGTGGCCTAACTCGAATAGAGCCTCGAAGATAGCATTGCGGACTTCGCCTGGTATTGTTGTCAAGAGAGACGGTGCCTCTGGGTTGATGGGGTGTGACTGCATCGACATGGTTTGGCCAGGTATCGCGGAAGCGGAATCGCCGTTTGTCGCGCTCATGTCTTTGACTACGTACACTTCTGGTAGTTGTTGGGGTTATGAAGGAGTAATGGCTTTGACAGAAGAAGCAGGGGATATAATGGAGGAGGTTCGAAGTCTAGGACGCACGCCAATATATATGGCAAGCGACCGCAGCTGACGACAACATCCGTGCGCGCAGTGAAGTCAGGAGAGTCTACGTGATGAGAGTTGAATGTGACGTTCATATTACAAACATTCTCTTTGTACGTGAAGAGGATGCGTTGGTATGCCAAGTGAATGCGAGGACCGAACACCCGTGTCGGTTTCCTTATCAAGTCGCGCCGTATTATTGGTGTCAAGAAGGAGGCGGCTTCTGCGAGGACTGATCGGGATCACTCTGGTCGGAGAGTGCGTATACGTAAGTGTCGTCCGTTACGGCGTGGGCGGGCGCAGACATGGTGGTGTGAGGGGTGTGCGCGGCGTGTGACGCTGGTCCGTAGTCTGCAACTTGATCTTTGCCAGGTCCTTCCTGCATCGTGCTCCGACAGAGGCAAGGCTGTTGTGTGTGATCAGCATAGTGATTTTGTGGGGAACGACGAGGTTACGGGGCCAGAACAGGTGTTGTACGCAGGCTGAGAGCGGGGCCGACTTCTCACACCCATTTGGGCAGGCACGGCTGAACGCCACACCCCATTCCCGAACATTGTTACAGCGACTAGAAAGGGAAAGAGCAAACTGGACAAGTAACCTTGGGTATGAGTATCAAGAACCAAAGAATGATACATGAATATACATAAGTGACGCGAAGTGTGCAGCGCATAGCATGACATCGCGAATGCTACGGGACAGACTCATTTCATTGAGCTCCAAGCCCCATCTTCTGCAACACGCTGGCCAAGTCAACCTCCACAATCTTGTCCCAGCCCCTCTCAGGGCCCCAGGCAACGCGCTTCTGATTGAGCTTGGTCTCTTCTACCAGGCCCTTCAGCAGCGGGCTGTCCTTGGACACGCTTGGATATGCGTCAAACTCGACGTCATCAATCGACGGCACCTGCGCGAGCAAGCCTCTCAGCAGCCCGACGCAGTACTCGGTATAGAAGTTGTTCCCCACGCGCCAGCCCTCAAAGACCTCGTTCGACGCCGGGTCGATCTCTACAAAGATTTTCAGTTTGTACACCTTCTTCACCGCCGCCAGACCGAGCCGGCTATCCACGACCCAGCATTTCGGCGGTTTCGTGAAGCCCGGCCCCAGTCGCAGCTCTAGGCGCGTAAGGAGCGCGCGGTATTTGCGAGGGAACCATGCAAGAAGCGGGTGTTTGCGGTTTATGTAGCGGCCGTGGATGGGGAACACGCGGAAGGTGTTGCGACCGTAGAAGACTCGCGACGCTTCGTCGTGCATGCGATGGTCGACGAGGAAGAGGCGGAGGGCGGGGGCGACGGTGCGGTAATTCGTAGGGTCGAGGTCGATGGTCTTAGGGAAGACCAGAAGCTCTTCGTAGATGCGCAGTCGCAGCTCGGATGGCAGATCGAAGAAGCGGAAGGGCTGGCGCTTCACAGCTTTCTTGTCATCTTCCTGCGCATCGTCTTGAACATCGGGCGGCGGGGCAGCGCGCTCATCCACCAGCCGCACTTTGCTCATGCGATTGACCATGTGGTCAATCGCCTTGGTCTTACGGGCCATCTTATTGTACAGCGCTTCCAAAGCGATCACTTCTACCGCCTTGGTCGCGCTTATGCATCCATCGTGTCACTCGTGCGTATACGTGTCGGTATCGTTCGAGGCGAAGGGAGACGTCGCAATGATGAAAATTTCTTATGGGAATGTCTCGGAGCCACGGGACCGACAGCCCATTCGGTAGGGGCAGGCAGTTCTTGGGGGCAAAGATGTATGTTCTCCCCAGCTTATGTCAACTTCAATCTTGTAGAGGAACAAAGAGTGAGGTCAAATTTCGTGGGTGCAACTTTCTATATGGAAAAGAAGAGAGGGTGGCGGCGGCGCGGAGAGTTTTGTTCGAGCTCCGGCTAGTGGATTAGTCAGCGCGTGACCGAGGTAGCACCGCACGACCCACCGCCAACCTGACATCACCCTCTAGCTCACTCCTAGAATGGCAGACACCACCCTTTCCCCACAGGCAAGCGATGCTGCTACGGAAAGCAATCTTTTGCTCAAATGGTTTGGCATCGAGGCTTCATTGACCACTCCTCTGGAACTACGAACCCCATTTAATCCATTGAGCATTGCTTCCCTAATTTCTCCATCACCCATTTCTCTGGAACTACGAGCCCGATTGCTTGACGCGGCAGCCTATTTTGAGAGTCCGAAGTACGGTGCGACATCTGGCCCTAGTTTGAGCGAAAGGCGTAGCCTCTTTTTGGACGCGGCAGCTCGAAACATCAATATCACGTCTTTGCGTAGGTGGCACGCTTGGAAAGATTCCCTTGTGGCTCTAGTCGATGCACAGCTTGCCAGATACCCAGTTGCTTCAGGGCCGTCGCCTTCAACTTCAGATCCGAGTAATGAACATGGTCGGAATCCATCGTCGACTGCATCCGCTACTCACCGCGTTTTGAACATAGTGGAACTGGTTGAGCAGATCTTATACAGCGCGGACCTTCAGACCCAACTGCACGCCGGCCAAGTCTGTACGCTATGGCGAGCGACTGTGAAGCGCATTCTCCAGGACCCCTTCGAAGATACACCGCATCAGAACCCGGTCGAATACTCCGATGTGTGTTCGACTAACAATGACAACCTTCATGTAACCCCCGAAGAGCTACTTGCTTTCGAAGAAAAGGTCCACGCAATGTGTTCGATTCTCCTGGATACAAACGGATGGAACATTTGGACGTACGCACCCGCTCGGCTTACTCAATCGCATATGCTCAAGCCATCCATCGCAGAACTTGTGCGCTACGCATATCGCGTGGCTTGGGACATTAACCCTACCCGGGACGACGACTTCAAACCGCAGCCGCAATGGCTGGACTTCACGCAGTTCAGGTTGCATCCGTGTCTGGAGCGCCTATACACCGGCGGATTCGAGACATATCGCGGTCGCTGTCACATTTACTTAAACACCAATGCTCCCACTGGAGGCCTCCTTCACCCGCTCAACTTCCCGCTTGGACCCTTGTACTCCCATACAGGATCACACTTTGTCACCGACCCACCTTGTAGTTGCATCGGCATTTATACTCCGAGTGATCAGTGGCTGGAGGGGACTGCACACAAGCTAGTGGCCCGCATCTACAATAAGGACGGAATACGTCAATCTCATCTAACAAGTATACTGAACGCACATGCGGCGACCGTACTGTTGGATTGGAGGGACCAAGTCGAGCGTATGCGAGAGAACTTGGCCACCCTGCCTCCAAGCGTACTGCAGCTATCATACCCAAGACGGCGTGCATTCACAGCCGGTGCCCGTCCGCACTTTATACTCACGCTCGATCATCACGACATGGATGAAAATCCCAATCTCTCCAAGCATGTGAGCCAACGGCCGTTGCTGATGGGTATGAGGATGTTGGGAAACGAATGGAAGACTTTGGATATCGCAGAGCAATATGTCGACACCAGCAGTGAGTGTTGGGCGGAGTGGATTTCCGATACTTCTGTTGATGATTCTTTGTGGAGCATATAGCACGACATGCCATTACTTCGTTTTTTCTTGCTATAGACTGTGGAAATTGCTACTACTGCTGCGTCACCTCAACCAGACGGAAAAGGTGGGCTCGCCGAAGTCTATGTGCTTAGTGAGAAATGTTTGGAGAATCGATGCACTTCAATGCAACGTATCATACCACTCGCCGTAGTCTCGACTGCTGCGAGACCAGCAAAAGACGTGCAAATCTAGATCAGATCTAGTGGCGTGGCAACATCATATGGAGACGTATCCTCACAACTCAACCAGATGAAAGTCCGTTTCGGGGTCTAGCAAGCACAAAGTCCTTCATCTAAAGATCAGTCAATACGTCGAGGATGAGATTCTAGACTTCCAGAGTCTTGGAACGACGGAGTTTCGGCAACGCTACGAATTCCCGCCCAACGGTTTCCAGAGGCCTAATCGTGCGCCAAGCAAACTGCATCCCCAGATTTGGCCTAATGGTAGTCTACCAGTCGAACATTGAGCTAAGCAAACCTAAGACTGCCGAGCAGCCGGCTACTTCGCCTTCAAATGCGACTACAAGTCGAGCGTGCTACCATTAGGAGTACTCCGGAGTACACCCCAAGAAGTTGTCAACGTTTGGCCAAGGCGACGCCAATTATTGTACCTGTTTTAGCAGAATCGTGGCAGACGTCATCTGCGAGAAGATGTGGGTCATATCAGTTATTATAGCTACGACTGCTCGAAGTTGCAGCAGTACATCGCCCAGATTACTATCACCAACAACAACAACATGCGCGATCAAAACGAGAAGATGTCATCAGCACCAGAAACTACCGCTGTAGGGCAAAAGCACGATCCTTCCATCAAGAATCCGCTCGTCAACTACGGACAATTACCAGGATGGCGCCAAGAAAACCAATACATCGTCACCAAATACCGTTCCGCCCGCAATTCATACCGCCAATCCATCAAAAGCCTCACGTACCTCCATAACGAGACCGGAAACATCTACACCCACCTACTCTTCTTAGCCATTGTTTTGCTTCTCACCACCTACAACCTACCGCAACTAGGTGGCCCAAAACAGTGGTTCCCCTCCCCACGCAACGGTGATTTACTGGCATTGTCTGCATTCCTCGGCGGTGTGGTACTGTGCATGTCGTTCTCCGTCACGTACCACATCGTCCTCGACCATTCAGAATCTGTGGCGACGGCTGGCAAGCAGTTGGATTTTGCGGGCATCACGTGTCTTATCTGGGGCAGTTTGATTGCGACGCTATACTACACGTTCACCTGCGAGGTAGAGCTCATGCGCACCTATATGCTTATTGTAAGTTGATTTGGTGCTACGACATGGGTTAGAAGCTGCTGACATGGAATATAGTTCACGACTTTTGGCGCTATCATGCTGCTCTTCTTCGCTTCGCCTCTGGCTTCCAAGTCTTGGGCACAGGCCCTTGTAGTTCCGCTTTTCGTCGCTTTTGCCGCCTCTGGTATTTTTCCGCTGTGGAGGGGTATTCAATTGTATGGTTGGGAAAGAATGGACGAAATGGCAGGCTTACGATGGGGGTTGGCTTGCGGCTTCGTCTGCCTGGCTAGTCTGGGTCCCTTTATGGTATCTAGTCGTGCCTTGCAACGCTCAACGATAGCTGGACTAACAGAAGACAGATGCAATTCCCAGAGTGCTGGAAACAAGGCAAATTCGACATGTGGCTCTCATCACACCAGATCTTCCACATCGCTGTGGTGATTGCTGCGTGTCTGCATTTTGTTGGGCTGATGAAGGCCTACTCGTTCCAGCATACGCACATGCAGATAGCGATCTGCCCCATGCTGAGTACCTGGAAAGATGAGCTCATGAATTTGACTTGAATGGGATGATACGCCGCAATCGTATCGGCCTCCAAAGTGCGGTTTGGTGTAGAACCCTCATAACTAAATGCTGATACCAAGAACTCTCCTCTTTGACTCGGCCTTACCGCCATCAGACATGCGACACCAAACTTCCCCAAAGCAAGATACTGACTAATAAGAAGAACATGATCAACACAACACAAAACCCAATCACACCTTCTAGTCTCCGCCACCTAACCTCTTCATCCCGCCATATCAGTACCCCAACAATATCTTCAACACACTTATACCACAGCTCCAGCACCTCCGCCGGAGCACCAAACGTGGCTGCCAAAATGCACTCCGGGCCCTTATGCTCCAGCAACAAACGCTGCGTCTTTCGGTCGCAATACTTCATGACCCACTCATCCAGCAGCGTCCAAACATACACATCCAACTCGCACCGCAGCTGCTCGATGCTAACAACGCGGTGGCCCGGCGAATGAAGAGTACGATCGAAGTATACCCTCATCAAATAGAAGAACCGGTGAACCGCATCCCTTGTCGTGACTTCTTCATCCTGGCCAAAATCAGCCAGCATAGCGCGTCTCAGAAACCCGTTGTCCATCGCACGAGCCAAAGCGCGCGGTTCCAAATACGCGACTACCCTCATCGCGTCCTCGATATGTATATCAATCTCCTGCGCCGGACTAAACTTCTCGGTGTTCTGAGCAATAGACATCAAATCCAACTCCTCAAGCTCCATAGCAGGCCGGTACCACTTCACACTCCACTCCTCTTCCTCATCTAAAACGCATTGACATAGCGGACTACCAAACCCTTCTATCATTTGTTTCACACAGACTCCGTGGTTGCAATGGAGTGTACAGTGCGGTTCTGGGGGCGGCACGCTCTTGCGGATGTTGAGGACGTCTTGGAAGGCGGGGAAGCGGTGGGTGTTTGTGTCTTCGTTTATACCGGCGAAGAGAGGGGATGGAGGTGCGACGGGGAGGCGCAGGTTATAGGAAGGGATCTTGATGCGGAGGTGTGAACGTGGAGGTAGGGGTGGTGTTGGGGATGTGGACAGGAAGTCGGTTTCTGTGAACTTCATGATTGCGGGTGAAAGGGTGTTTGATTGGTGTTTACTCGGGGGAGGGAGTGAAATACAATGGTTTTGGTTGAGATGGTTTTGGTTGTCTGAGAAGGGACGTTGTGCGCATATGAAGTGTACATTAAGCGCTGTGTTCGGGTTTGCTCAACCATGAAATGATTGCGGTGAATGCACACGGAAGCTTTCTCTCTTTGATTGCTTGTGACGATACTGATCAGGCGTACGAGACATCAATTACACTAATCCCAGGTAAAATCACAGCTCTCCTCGCTGTCGCTGCTCTCTCCACTCTCGCTGCTTTCCTCACTCCCACAGCTCTCAAACTCCCACCAGGTCTTATTCATCCTCTCCGTCCTTATCTCTCCATCCCACCACAACAAAACCGCAACTACCATCTCCACAATCCCCTCCATTCTCTCAAACAGTACCTCAACTCCCCTACTCATCGTCCCCTTAATCCAAGTCCTCCTCGCTAGGCCAAAGCACCCTTTCAACTTCCATGCTCTCTCCACAGCATTATCCCTCCTTTCTACCTGGTTGCGGAAACACCATTCAGATACCCACCAGAAGATTTCTAGTCGTATCATCTCCGTTATTTCTTTGACCAGTTCCGCGATGGTGAGTGTGCGGGTTTGGTTCTCTAGTGGCAAAAGCGTGATTGACAAGTAGTTGAGGAGTTTGGAGATGAGGATATTGGCCGCGCGGGTAGCTGCGAGGTACTGCGCGGGGTAAAGTGTGGTGCTCCTTGTGAAGTCTTTGGATCCGCGAAGATATTTGGTCAAATCAAGATATCCCATGCTTCGCATCTTTCTGACTAGGGCAGTGGCGGATGCTAGTTCAAGCGTTATCGTCTCGGTATGGCCGGCCTTCTCGTAAGCCTTTTGGGCGGCGAGAATATTCTGGAGGCGAAGACGCGATATCCTTTCTTGTCTGAAACTGGTGTCTTCGAGGAGGGGAAGTCGCCTGCAACATCTGCATGCTTTGGGCTCGATGTTGCGCTTCCCATCTTTGTCCGTAATGGTGCGGCACACGCGATGCTCGCAGTGTCGAATGCAGTGGTCGATGTCATGGTCATTGACTGCGACCCGATCATTATTCCGCTTCCACTCTTCCCAGTTGTCTTCGTCTTCTTCATATGCCGGAAACTGCTCCATTTCTCGCGCTAGTGGCTGGTGGGTGAACGGGCATGGCGATGGGCTTCTCGCTCGGCAGAGAACTTCTCTAACACTCGATTGAACTGGACGACCGGTTCGAATAGGCTTGTTGAATGCTTTGCGATGTTTTAGAGCCAAATACGATGACGGTGTATATCGCGGAGTAGAATCTTCACCCAGGTGGTCTGGGTGCATGCAAAACGCGTCGGCGACGTTTGCTAGGAGGTGACAAAACATTTTGTTGGAGAAGACGTTGATGGGATGAGATGAGAAGATGAAGTTTACAAGAGACAAGTACATATTATGTATGAGCAGCAAACCTACCAGAATCTACGGTTCACTCCATGGTACAATTTGGACCTCTGACTCTACGCGACTATCCATCCTGAACTCTGGTCGGCTGGATGAGTGGGCGCAGCCGACCAACCAGACTCGCTGCATTTACTGTCGTAGCCAATGAACACAACGCAACAACGAGGACGTACCATAGTTCCCATCATGAATCTCATTTGGTCAACAAGCAACTAGGATGTGTTGAATTCTCTGCGCTTTGAGCCAACTGCAAGCTGGGGTTAGTCATGGCGGTCTCGTGGAGCGCGCGTACACCGAGCAGACGCAAAAAATACAATTTGATCTGGAGACGAAGATAAAATTTGGCGCTGACTGTGGAGGTTACATCAAGTTGAGAAGGTGTCGTTCCGCGAAGTTAGATGCACCGCGGCAGCGACGGGAGGACGCATTAGACTATTTGCGGAAAGGTCCCCGCCGATCATGACGCAGCGCGATTTCGCATCCCACCTCGCGTGGACTGAAGTGCATCGCGTGCATTCTTCCAGTCCCCTACGATGCCACCGCCCTGAATCCTATATCGCACCCCTCGACCGCATCTCCAAAATGGCGCTTCCTCTCAGTATCTTCCTCGGCGGCTGCGTCGTCGCCATCCCCGTCGTAACCGGCGTCGCGCAAGGTGTCGAGCACCAAAAGAAGCAGAACGAAGAAGCCGCCAACGAATCGCGCATGTGGAAATTCAACTGTCTCGTAGCCTGCGACGACCCCGATCCGATCGCGAAAGAAGAAATCGACAATGGCATCCTCGTCGTGCGCCACGATAAAGTCTGGGTCGTGCCGAGAGATGCGGATAACAAGCCCATGTGGCCGGATGGAGTGGATGGGGAAGGAAGAGAGCCTCTGCATCCATTTGCGGGCTTTTACATTGCATATCCAGATGAAGACAGGAGTCCGCCGGAGAGAGGATTGGTTACCACAATCAGCGACGACCCGCCGATGCTGAACTGGGTCTACTGCGACAAGAAGACGTACGAGCTACGCTACTCGAACCGCACCGGCAGCATCATACATCATGTCGGCGTCTGGGACTGGACCGAAGACGAGACGCACCTCACATTCGAAGGCTGGGAGGGCTTCATGGCCATCGACGAATGGGATGGCGCCGACGAAGACCCGGACACACCGTGGGGCAAGGAAGGGCTGCGGTGGGCCGTCTACTTCGACAAGGACGACAACGGGCTCAAGGGAAAGCACAAAGGAAGGGACATGTTTGAGATCAGCCTCAAGCGCAGGATACAGAGCGCGGAAGAGCAGTTGAAGCAGAACGAGGCTGCGGAGAAGAAGATGCAAGTCAAGAGCAGGGGTGGTTTGAGTACGCAGTTCGCCGCGCCCCAGAAGGAAAGGGATAAGGAGTGGGAGAAGAAGTTTGGCGAGAAGGCGAGGCTGGAGCTGGAGAAGAAGTTGGCGAAAGACCAGGAAGAAGGGCAGGGGCCTGAGTGGGCTAGAGGCGATGTTGGGAAAGAAGAGTGAGGACAACAACGAGATAGATGGGTAGCTCATGGCGTTGAGTATGCCCATTTCGGTATCATACGTGCGCTTTCTCCTGGACGCGCTCCTCACCCACCCTTATGCGCCAGGCCCTGCGAAGACCATATCGACGTCGAACCTCTTCAATGGAGACAAATCACTCACCTCGTAGGCATTTGCCGGACAATACGACTCACGGCAAACAGAGGCAATCCAGTCATGTTATATGATTGCTCATATTCTTTAGAGTATAAACTTGGCTCGGCGATCCTTAGGTCTCTCTCTTCTCGATAGCGCTGCAAGAAGGGTGACCCAGTCAAAATATCAACCTCCTATGACCTGTCGACACGAGAGGGGCAACAAAAGTACGCCTTCTCTAAGCTGATAGTTGCCAACTCGGACGTGTTGGCTCAGAATCAAGCCAGATATCATCCCGAGGTCGGCCTTGAGCGATATCTATGGAAGGTGACCTATGTCATGATGGAAGGAGAGCAGCTCATTGGTTATACCAGCAATGAGCAGACGGCAAACCTTTTCCGCGACACTCTTGGTTGGCATGTAGAAAAACAAGACGGAGAGGAAGAATGGACATACCAATACAGCAAGTGCGTTCATGGAGATCCTGCGATGGATTGGATCGATCCAGTGGCGAAGACGACTGCTTTTTATGGGTGGCGTGAGTATCCCTGTACAAACTTCATGTGAGGGAGTTCCTGACTGATCACGCAGGCATCTAGGCCATCCTGCTATTGGTAAACCTCGCGAAGAGTCTTTTCCAGCACATGAGATGAGGTGGAAGAACTCGTATGTTCAGAAAGGGCGTACGATGATCCATTTCGCCATCTCAATTCGCCAGACTGACGTGTTGCATAGTCTGGTGGGCGTTCATCACGAAACGACCACCCGTCGACACCGAAGAACCCAGAGTGCTGACCACCGAATTCTTGAAGAGTGGCAAGAGACTCCTTCCTCAGCATAATGCAAAGGCACTACTGAAGCAAGGCTCCTCCGGAATTCCGAAGCTTTTAGTAGAATGGGTCGAGAGAAGCGCTCGGGAAGGTCCAACAGCTCCCCCAAAACCTGAAGCGTCTGAAGCTTCTGCGGCTCCAGCTCCAGTGTAATTTATGAACTCGACGGAATAAGGGGCACTTCTATTCGATACTGTCACAGAATGAGGGCTATGTACTATAACTTGGTCGTGTTTTCATCTATTACCAAATTCTACGGTAATACGACACTGGATACGAATGAGCTACGAATACGGCAGCTACTACCATGCCTACACATTGAAATGTTCCTCAAAAGCTCCCAACCTTTTCACCCCCTTCCAGGAATCATCTTCTTCCTAGTAGCGTGGGGTCTCACGATCTTCAAAGCATGGACGCTGATTCGGCCAATGTGGATATGCCTCGAGCTGCACATCTTCGGCACCACGTTTCAACACTCGGTTGGGTCTAGGAATGGCAAACGGGTGTTGGTATGGAGTGTGCGGGTAGCTTTGGGTCATGTGCGGCATATAAGACGGCGACGGCTTCCAAGGTGTCACCGGTGATGGCTGCGTGCTTGGGGAATAGATTCCGTGCATCGATGACGTTGGAGTCGGGGCATACGAGGCGGATGGCGAAAGTATGTTCGGTGAAAGCTTGTTCGACGAAAGCATGCTCGGTGATAGCATCCCAGGCGAGGGCGGGGTGTGATGGAAGACAGGTTGAGGGCCATGATGGTAAGAGTTCCCGGTGACATGCTGGTTGTTCTGGTGCTGCCCGCCATTGTCGCCCGCGTACTGAGAGACGGTCTGGGTATTGTTCGATTGAAAGTCGCCGATGATACTCGCCCCAATGTCGGCAGGTGGCAGAGGCCCCGATGATTGCAGGCTCGTCGCGACATTTAGATGCAACTCTTCCTCAAGGTCGTTCGAAGGCAGGCTCATTGCGACACCTGACTCGAGTTCCTTATCACCGTCCGTGCCTGAGGCTTGATCTTCCGGTGACGTCGTAGCCTTTTTCTCTTTCACCCTCGTTCGACCTTCTGCGATGTACTTCTGGCGATTTCCATTCTGTTCATTGTTCAGGATTGTGCCTGTAATTTTATCGGGAGCCGCACCCACAGTAGTTTCAAGATTCTCACCCTTGAGCAGCGAGAAGCAGCGACCCTTGGAAAGCCGTAAGAGCTCACAGAGACTATCTATACGCTCACCAAAAGTAAGGTTGCGGGATTTGTACATCGTCTGCAGTGGCGTCGTGTCGTAGATGGAGAACGATTTCGGGCCGAAGAAGTGTAGTTTCTCAGCGGTGTCAACTAGCTGCCAGCACACCTTCTCCATCTGGTCTTCATAAATCGCCTTTTTGGCACCTGGAGTCAATCGTTTCGCAAATCGGTCCTTGTCTTGGTTGTCCGGGCAGGCAGAAGTGTCTTTCATTGCTGCTAGTAGCTCAGCGACGTGTCCAGCTCGGTCTTCGTCAGTAGTCGGAATAGTGCTGTCATTGGCAGGCGGCACCCAGTCGTTTTCGATATAGCGGTTAAGCATGCTATCCTTCGCTTCTGCCAGATTCCGAAACGAAAGTCCAAAAAACTTGGGTTGAACTAGAGCTATTGCAGTAGCTAGAGAGGGTGCCGATGGGCTGGGTGTCATGTAACTGTAACAGGGGTCGAATGGCGAGTGTACGTCCACCAAATGTGTTGGCGTATTCGTAGCACTGACAGGTTCTATGGATAAATAACGAGGAGGTGGGGTGCCTGCATAATGCTGGGGTGAAGACTGCTCGAGCATCGGTTGGCTGTAGCCATTGAAGCCATTTTGATACTGACCATCGTCAATTGCAGATAGAGGAACATCATTCGGCTGATAGTTCCCTATGCCATAATCTTGAATGCCAGGTTGAGCAAAATACACAGGGTCGCCATTGGTAGACAGCATTGTGCCCTCGTTATCCATAGTTGTTGGGAATTGAGCTTCATAGAGGAGTTGCAGGTCTTGAGAGCTCATGTTGAGAATGTCGTCGATGTAGTCAGGAGAACTGTTATTGTCCTGGTAGTGGTCTTGAGACATAATGCCTTCGGTGGACAGGGTCGATGTGTCGAGAGAGGTTGCGAGTATCACCCGGATTCCGATCGGTCGAGTTGAAAAGAGTGACTGGTTAAGAGCTTGGAAGGTTGTAAGCTGGTGATGGGTGGAAAGGAAAATCTCACACATGCTTTTAACCTGTCGAGGCGCTTCCGCTGAGTGAATCTCATCATCTTCGCAAGTTTGCTACTTGAAGCATCGCGATAGCACAGTTGACTCGAGGGCTATGTGCTTGCATGTTTGCTTCCTGCCGAGAGAATCCATGGGAAAAGTCTTGTACGCTGTGAGACTATGATGACTGCAAGTACAAAACTGATACCAACGTCGGCTGGAGACGATTCAAGCGATAGATACGAGTGTTCCAGGATAAGACTTCAATACTGTCGCAAAGTATGTAAAAGAATGGCTCAATTGTTCTGCAAGAGCTTCTGTCACCCATTGGAAGCGTGATAGCACTGGTGCGCAAGTTTCACAAAAGGCGGCATTGTGAAATGGGTCCTTCCTTGGTTGCTGTCCATCAGTAGTTCGTTGACAGTGAATTGGGAACTCTCAAGACAGTGATTGAAGAGCACGTTAAGCATTCTGGAGGTATCGAGAGCGCCCTGCGTATGATGTGCGTGATAGCGAAGGGCGGTGCGAATGCATTGGTGGTAGAGAGCGGCGTGTTGCTGATGAAGTTCCGACGCGTCGACGGCGCGACTGAACGCGTCACAACCGCATTCGGACATTAGCGGCTTGGCTGACAACATTCTCCTCTTTACGGAAGCAACTCCTCACTTCAGCACCTCACATCGCGTCACCGAGTCGCCATCCATCTCCTCCCATCTACACCCCGTATGGTTGCGCATAGTTGGGATGATCATACGACAACCTCCGATCTCAGGTTCATCCACGCGCTTTGTCACAAAGAACCCCGCATCGGCCAGTACGCACGATCATCAGCACGGCAACTCATCATCAAGTCGAAGTCTGCAACCTTCAGGCAACTGCGAACAATCATACAAACAGATATGGAAGGCTTGGGTTCAGAACGCCAATTGTTCTTCCGCCTCACGCTGGCCACCGCTATCTATGACGCTAATTCAGCTGGATGACTGACATTATACCACAAGTTGTCTACGAGTTCTTTAACTCGCACTGACGCCATTTTATTGTAAACATACCTCATTCACACGCGCGACTAACCGCTATCCAACGAACAGCTATATCCTCGCTCTCGTCCGACGAAACGCCGACTTGCTCCGGCTTCGCCTCCAGTCGCTCTCATTACTGGCTAGTCCGATCATCGCCCTTCTCCATCTCGTCGCGTTCGTGCTCCCTCCACAGCTTCCCCAGCTGCTTCATAAAGTCGTCGTCGTAGTATGACCACGTCTCTGGTACCTTGGTGCTTTTCCACCCGAACACCTCGCGAGACCTCTGGTTCATAATGTTGTTGTACTCGATGGGGCGGTCGCTCTCTGGCAGTTTTGCAAGCTCCAATATCGGCAAGCCACCGATCTGGCATACAAGATGGATCGTCTTCTTAAAGAGCCTAGATGGTGCCGGCTGGTCGGGCTCCCATTGATCTTTTTCGTCTTCATGCAGGACTACATAGGACTGTTTGAGGACAGCGCTATCCACGCCAATTGCACTCATAACGTAACTTGTGATCGGCCCACGTCCACCATTCCTGTTTCTCCAATGCCAGAGCTTGATTTTAAAGGTAGATAACTCCACGACAGTCTGCGGTATCGCTAATGTGCTGCAATCGATACCTGTAGGGTCCAGTCCAATCGTATACGTATACTTATCGCCGACGCGGCGGGGGCGAGTAACAAGGTTCGTATACTTATCTTCCCAATGCAGAAATCGAGTCTGGATACCGTCGCATGTCAGACCCCGAAGGTAATCGCCATGTCGCTTTACCATACCCGCGGTCTTATCCGCAGGCAGGTCCTGCAATACGTAACACTGCTTGTCGATAAAGGTAGTCTGCGGGAACAAAGAGTATGCCCTGTTCCAAGTGATAAAGTTTAATGTCGCGGTAGATGAAGCCGCGTGGAGCAATTTGCATAGAGGAGAATCCCTCGAATCCAAGACACAGACGGTCAACCCATCATACTCGGCCTGCGGCTTTCGGAATATGGTCAAGCCCGTCATGTTGTACTCATCAGCGATCCACCGTTCTTGCTCCAGGAAGTCGAATATTGGGGCACGGAGGTCCAAGGGCTTAACCTCTGAGTACTGTGTATAGATGTATAGTTCTTGCACGGGAGTTTGGAGCTCGTTAGCAATGAACTTGCGGGCAAAGTCACCGCCGATGATCGCGCCAGTGTTGGCTTGAACTTGTCTGAACGCCTTGGGATTCTCGAAGAAGGATTTGAGCTTTGTCTCAATGTTCTGGTAGCATGAAGGAAGCCCGCTGATGAGCGCAGTACGAACGCCTGTCGATACTTCAATCAATGTCGAGAACTCCTTCGGGCCGAGGTACGAAATGAGAGTCTCCTGCACTGGCGCTAGCGAGGACGAGAGGAGATGAGAAAGATCCATGGTGATTGCGCGGGTTGAGGGTGGGGGTTATCGTTGCGCTGCACCGTAAATTAATTCGGAAGGCGCAGCGAAGAAGTACCTGTATAGAGGAAAGCGCAGGCAGCAGTGGCGATAGAGGGCTGCATTGTCGATGAATTCGGTTAAAGCCTGCCGATGTGGTTTTCACGCCAAAGGTTGAGATGGTACCGCGGATACCGTTCCAAAACCGACCCCATCGAGCCAACCAAACGGTGGACATTTGCTACACCAAACATCCGACCGTTTCCCCTATTGCCTTGCATGTGGCAAAGTCTTTGGTGAGCAGTTTCACGGCATTGATACGTGCGGAACTTATTTGGGTCGCAGGGCCGCTTACGTGTGTTGCTCCTAGGAAACATCTCATTGGTTGGGTGAATTACCCCGGACCGAGGCAGTGCTCGTTGTACCGAGCCCAAAGGTACGGTCCGCGCAACGTCAACTCAATTGAAGAGATGCAGCATCAGTGGAGCGTAGAAGTATTGGCCTTTGGTCGAAGGCTTCGAAGTGAATTGACCTGCCGTCATGAGCCCGTGCTCCGATAAGACAATGTCGAGAGCAACCTATCACGAACCTTACGCTCCTCAGTTCCACATCGCTTCGGGGAACTGCTCCAGGCTTCGCCCCCACGGATGGTGTGCACACTCTATACAAGGAAATCACCGCATAGCCCAGAGACTACAATGGGACAGAATATGCAAAACCAGAAACCATAGCGTCAATGTAGTCTCCAGGGTGTTCAGCTTTCTCCTTGGTCGAGGCGTATGCGTAATAACGTAGGTACTCAATGCAGCGACTGCTTACTTTTGGATGCATGGTCTTTCTTCGAATCGTTCCATAATTTTACCATAGCGGCAGTGCTGCAGTGTTGACGGCAGTGCATGCGTACGCTGGACGAAAAATGGATACATAACTGCCCATGGCCGTTCAGCTATCATTCAGCAAGCGCTGGTGCTATATTCCGAGATGAAGTCCTCTCCAAGTACCCTGTTCTCTTCCATTACTTTCAACCTTTTGTTGTCCTACAAACGGCAAGCCAGGTTCAGCGGCTGGCGCGGTGGCTTTGTTCTCGCCATCATTGGCTCATCACTTGTCCTGCTCTTTAACATCATCTGCGCCATAGTCGCTGCTGCGGCCGGAAAGCCACACGACGGGATCGCTACGATCTATACAGGCAACTGCGTCCTTGCATCGCGTTTAACAACAGGTCTACAATTACTCATCAATATACTCAGCAGTTCCTTGTTGGGTGCGTCAAGCTATTGTTTACAACGACTTGTAGCACCTACGCGAGAAGAAATTGACAAAGCCCATAAGGAAGGCAAATCGCTAGATTTGGGAGTCTTAAGCTTGAGGAATTTACCAAACATCAGTAGGAGAAGACTGGCTGTTTGGTTATTGCTCGCTACAAGCAGTCTGCCTTTGCATTTCCTGTGAGTATAGACCGCTTAATACATATCAAGGTCTTCTCATATTGAACGAAGCTAGCTACAACTCAGTCATATTTCAGACAACGGCAACGAACTCTGTCGACATTGCGATGATAAACGAATCCTTCCTCACCACGAGGGGAGGGTGGGAGCTTAGAGACGTTGATAATAAGTACCGTCCCTACTTCCAGGCCCTACAAGACACCTTTCTGGACAAGCAAAACCCGAGTGCATCTCTTTTCGAGAAGATCCCGGCCGTTAAATGCATTCATCGCTACCAAACGACCTTCATAAGGGCTGGCAATGGCTTCGCTGTTATGGCAACAGACTACTCAGGGGTTAAAGGGGAAACAATCGACAGCAGCTCACTCCTAGCCATCGGTATGAACACCACAGAGATGTGGTTCGGCCCAGAGTTTGCTTCTCATCTCTTGTGTAAGTTCATTCGGGCTGTGACTTACGTATCTCACTCATATTCTGCAGATTGCCTTAGTGAAGATTCACCTGAACGATGCCAAGTACAGCTTAACCAGAGCATCTTGTATGTCGTCATCGCTTGTAACGTGCTAAAGGTGACCCTCATGCTCATGGTACTTTGGGGGATGAACCACGAAACCATCGTTACTATCGGCGACGCCATCGAAACATTCATCCTAAAGCCGGATAGTTCAACCCAAGATTGCTGTCTCGTAGATGGTCACAGTATCGAGCAGGCTCTGCGGATATCAGCGCGAAGAACACATCGATACCAGCCTATCAATCAGAAGCATTGGTACAGAGCTGTCAGCCGCAAGCGCTGGTTTTGTTCGCTATCTTTGTAAGACTACGCACCTAGCTCCTCTGTGTGTAGTACAGCCTCTGATACACTCCAGATACTTCTTGGTCATCGCCACAGCCGCATACCTTTATAGTCGCATGGGCAGTCGCCTGGTGAAATGCATGACCTGGGATGCCTCTGGGATCAAAGTCGACCACGTTTGCCGGTGGAATGGCTTCGGGAACGTCAATTAC